ATGTTTATTCTAAGATTTTCTAGGTTTACTTTCATTTGTTTCAGGTTTCTTTCAGGTTATTCTGGGTTTCTCCAGGTCAATTTTAGGTTTATGTTAGATTAATTCTGCGTTTCAATGGGATTGGCTTCGAGATAGGTTAAATTTCCTTACGTTTAATTTATGTGTATTTCCTGCCATTTTGGAACTAAGCTTTCAAGGTGACTTTGAAAAGTAGAGCCCTAGTAGTCATAGTAGGAGTAGGTAACCTAAGCACTTAGAAAGAAATCTTTACTCCACATACTCCACGTCTTGTGCAGAAGCCACATGCTTCTCGACTCTCGACTGCATAACTCACGATTTGATTTCAGAAAGTTGGCCAAAGCTTGAAAGAGCTTGCCCGCATGGACACTCAATGAACAAAAAGGGGCTGCAGATGTCTTAGGAAGGCAGAGGCTGGCCTTTGCAATCTGAGATGCAACATGTTAACCCATCAGCTAAAGTGAGCTCCAGCTTCTGCTACGGCAACTTCATCATTCACGCCTTGTTCACCTTGGATGCCAGCCGGCGCGCCAACGATATCAAGCTCAAGGAGTCTAAGCCTCATGGCAGCCACACTTTTCGCAGACTTCTTCGGAGGGCATGTGGCTTCCCAACATACTCCAAATTGAGATTAAGGGGCAGCAGGCAGGCAACTAAGTACCATCTAGTTGCTTGGGACGGCTGATTGGCCACAAACGCTCAGCCGACATGCAAAAAGTGCCTAGAATTTGCCCCAAAACTTACCCCAAAAAGTCCCAAGTGTATGAGGAGCAAATCATGCCAAGGACGCCGCAGCTCACAGGCATGTGAGTGCTCCAGCAACCGAAGCCCCAAACCGACGACGTGGTGTTGCGTCATCACATTCATCAAAATGCAATGTTCGCAGTTCAAGGCAAACAATGAACCCTTTACTGAATATGTTGCAACCCGATTCCGTGGCCAGGTCTGACTTTGCATGCTCTGCCCTGCAGCAAATCAGGCAGCAAAAGCCACCTGCGTCCTCGAATGACATGTCCATCTGGATTGGGCCAGACATCTCTTCCACGGTCTGAAAAAGCCACTGACCTTGGTTTGAAAGGGCTTGATGCAAAGGCTGCCTTACACTTTACACCAGAACCCCAGGCCCAGACCACGACATCCCTAAACGCAAAGAACGCTTGCGCCACTTGCTCCTGTGTCGTACGCTTGCCTCGTCTGCCCAACACGACCCTCTCCTCCCACTGTTAATCACAATGACTCCTCATGCTTCCAGAAGAAGGTCTAGCGGCGACTTGGGCCTAGCAGCCCTGCATAGGCTAGCACGGTTAAAAGACCACGAATCAGACGAAGATTAGAAAGCCAGGGGGCCTCTCTAGATCGGCAGATACAAACTGCTGCGGTACGCTGCAACGGCGTGAACAGGAAACTATTTCTGCTTGCTGGGAGTGCTGCTGGCTCCGGCTTGGCCACATCTGGTGGAGTCGCAAAACACGTCACAACAGGAGAGAGCTAATAAAAAGCAATGCTTTCCTCGACTTCCGGTTCCTGTGCAGTGTAAACGTGAGGCTCCGTGCCACCTCCACGCTCTCTCGCAAATTTGGCACACCTTACGCACGTTGGCGGGCTTTTCTCCGTGCCAATTTGCTCGGCTGCAGCGAGCCCTGCCGTCAGGCAAACGCATAGCACCAGTTAGAAATCAGTCAGGACGACCAGACTTAGACGAGGTAACAGCTAGGAATCAAGTTTCGACACTTGTTGGCAGGCAAATGGCACAAATCGCCCTCTGTCTCCTCCTCGCTTGCCAGAATGTGGCCTGATATATGTCAGGTGGCGGATCCAGTAGCTGGGATGCAAAGGCTCAGGAAGGCGCATGCCCTTCGTGCATTGTACTGGTCTTAGCGGGCTTCAGCTGATGAAGATGCATAGCACACGTGCAAGATTGCCACAAGAAAGAAAACTGAGAGCGAGGGAGAGAGAGCGAAAAGAAGGGTGCTGTCGGCGAGTATGAGTGCGTGAGTAGGCAAGTGCATGTTCCTGTCACGAATCCAGCCGGTCAACAGGAAGGAGACAAGGAGATGTACAGTGAAGAACACCGTAGACAGAGGTATGTGGGAATGATGTTGCTTAACCACGGGAATGCTTGACACGTATCGCCTCCCAGCATCAGCCACTCATCAAGGTCCAAGACGGGCTCCCAGATCGGCAGTCTGACACAAGTTGCCTGAACAATCAAGGTGCGGCTTCAACATGCCAAGCTGACAGACCAAAGGCCAGGGGCCATGTCAAACAATCCTACGGCAACACATGCATTGCCTCAAAGCCCTTCAAAAGCATGTACATCTATCTACGAGGTCACCTTTTCAGTAATTTCGCCTAACCCATTCTGCGCCGCCTGAGGGTTCAGCACTCTTGCTGCTGCCAGTACAGCGGATGAAGCAGTCAGAACCTGACGAACACATTCAACAAGCCACCAAAGTACACATTAATGAAGGGTAGTTCGAGTCGGGTAATTCATGAATTCATCTCTAAGGCCAGCATACGTTGCTCCACCGGAGATTATCCCATAATGCTGTGTTGTTGAGCAGCAACACATGGTTTCCGCAGCGCTTTGCCCATGCATACATGCTTCCCGCGCTGATGTCGAGCCCTTTGCACAAACTCACTAAACTACAGCGACGTACAGCATCTACATGCGTTTACAGCATCTTCGCATCGGATACAAATCATGGACTAACAGAGAAGAGTATTTCAGACTGTGAGTAGCTCCCTTCTGCCAATACGCTGCGCGATCGCTTCTTCTAAGCAGGAACCCTTGAACCTCAGCAAAATGTGCAGGATTCTCTCGAGTGGACCATAGCCATGGCTACCGCCGTTATCCACCGCTATGGCTACAGATGCAACGCCTCTGCCTCTAACATTCTACTACTTCTACTTCCAATTCTTCTACCACTATCTTCATTTTTGTGGCTATTTAGAAAATTTGAAGAACTGCTCAGTGCTGCTCTGCCATTAAGTCCTTGTCGCAACTGCTGCAACTGCTGCTGCTGCTGCTGCTGCTGCTGCTGCTGCTGCTGCTGCTGCTGCACTTCCTCTGCCGTCTCCTCCTCCTGCGACGAAAGGGCAACCACTACAACATACAATAAGCAAATACAAGCACAAAACCATGACGTCGACAACAATGATGCGGACAGCAACGGCATGCAACGGCCATGGTGTGACCACAACATGACGGCACAACACCCGTTCGAAGATTACACATTGCATCGACACAGCAACTCAACGTCCACGTCAACGTTGACGGGACAGCAAGGGCGCACAAGGCCACCAGACCACGACAACAACATGCACTCAGGGACGAACGCTGTTCTGGATGGATGTTCTGTTAATCGGACTCTCTCGAACATGGATGGTATGGCATGGATGCTTCAGTATGCTTGAGTAATATCTTGCTATCAGACCTCTCGGACATCAACATTATTCTGCTTTGGGCATGGATGCTCTGGGAATCGGAAGATCTCGAACATGGACGTGAATTTGCTTTGGGCATGGATACTCTGGGAATCAGATGCTCTTGTAGACGGAATTTATCCGCCGAGGCCGGAGACCTGGGGCATTTAGATCAAGAGACTAGGAGAGTAAGTTAACCCTCCCCCTACGCCCTCCCAGCGGTTGCGATTCGGCAGGGGGGGCTACTTTGCTCGCTCGCCTGAACCACACTTGCCGAGACGGTCTCGCGTTAGCGATTGAATTACAGCTTGGGCATGGGTTCTCTAGTAATCGCGGGTCTGGTAAACTGTCGTTTTGGGAATGCCAAAGTGCACCAGATGTGGACAATTTTGAGATGCCAATGCTGCTAGCAGATGAACAACAATGTGAGGAATCGATTTGTGGCTTATTCAGTCAGCTTCGTTCAACAGGAAAACGCGCGACGTTCTTCGAAATCGTGCTGAGAAAAGTGCTTCTTCGCCTTGCCAACGACAAAGGCGTCCAAGCGACGAAAGGCCACGCCCGTGGGTGCAATAACTCAATAACAACAACAGCCGGCCACAACGAAAACGACAGCAGCTGCTCTGAAATATCAGACCATGTGGTCTCAAGGGTTGTCCATGGCCCAGGAGACCATGTTCGTAAACAAGAACTCTCGCAAGCTCCAAAGAGCTAGCTTTGGTGAAGTTGCAGGGTGGACGCCAAAAAATCGTGTCAGGCAGTTTTGCCCTGTAACCAGGTGTTCCTGCTCAAAACTCAACTTAGGTCTTGCGCAAAAACGAAGAACCTGTAACTAACCCTTGCAACACCAGTTATTTTCCTGCAGAATCCCGTGATCTTAAGATGCATTTGGTGCACATTACAAAAACTGTGTTTTCTTATTGGAATATGGTTCTAGCCCGGAACCTACATTTTCTACAGTTAATTATTGTTTCTATAGGTACCACTAGAAGAGCTGATAGACTGATAGACTTGGTGAATGCCCCGCAATGGCAAGTCTTTGGAATTCAGGACCTGGTCTGAATGCAGCTCAGATTCCACCTCCGCAGACTGCAAAGCCGTCGGCGTGAGGTCGCCGATGGCGGGCACACAGAGTAAGCCCCCGGGGCCTAATCGCTCCACACAATACGTCGAATCAAACGACAACAGATTCAAAAAAATCCAGCGAGATCTGCTGCATGCCGCAGGCCTTCAGACGCGCCAAGCATCGCTTGCAAGGATTGGTAAACGGCATCCTCGCTCCGATCACAGGGTTTATGCTGGCAAAGTGCAAGCGTAAATCTGCACATGAATGCCTGCCGAAGTCAACGGCTCGGCAGAAGGTCCATCCGCCACATCAGCCAGCTAAAGCCACAACAAGGGATCTTTTGAACGCCAAACGGTATTCAACTTGCAGACAATTACGGACAAGCCCCTCCTTGGGACCGGCCACCTTGCTCGGCCGCCGCGGGCGTGCTTCGCAAGGCTCCACGGCAACGAGGATCTTGCAGCAAGCATATGATGTAAGTTTCACTAGCCTAGAAAGCAATAGGCAAGCTCCAGCGGCTATCTATGGGGGCTCCTTGCAGTTCAAAAGATCGTAACATCTTGTGACGCTTCTGAGATCTAGTTTCCAATTCCCGAGCAACCTTGCCGACGTGAACGCCCTTGGAGAAGTATGCAAGCGCACCTGCAATGTGCTCAAACTTTGCAAGACCTAACAAAACGTTCATGATGGAATCTGATGGAACATCGGCTCCACTTCATGTTGTGTGCAGCAGCCTCCAACAAGCAAGCCGGGAAGGAAGCAATGACAGTGCCACCATTCCAAGATGTTTTGGCGTTGATGGGCGGCGGCGTAAGTAGGCTTCAAATAAGCTGTGACGCAGAATGCGGGTCCAAAATGTGACCGCATGGTGGACTACTGCAACTCTCCTGTGACCACCTTGTGGGAAGCGCACGAGCCAGGGGCCTGACAAGTCTGACATGCCGAAGGTCTTGGTTGGAAGTGCCGGCAGCTGCGGCAAGGCCTCCCAGACCTGACTTACAAAAAATGACAAGCAGGCAAAAGTTTGGAATCCTCCAAACTCAAGAAGCTTCAAACTTAGAAACGAGGCAAGGCTGCACAGAAAGGCGATTCATTGGCCGCGTGCCTCGAGGAGGAGTTCACGGGCCCGATCCGGCTGCTCCAACATCAAAACGTCCAGATGAGCGGCATAAAACCCCAGTCCTCACATTGACTTTTTCAAAAGCTCTTAAAAACACACACGCACACCCACAAAAGACCCTCTGTGAGATTCTGCGAAGTCCTTTCAAGAATGGCTGCAATAACATCGGCGTGTTCTCATACTGATCCCGCTTGCCCAGCTCCAAGAACCGTCCGCACGCTCGCAACCTTGGAAGCAAAGCCTTCAGGAATCTTTATCCATTTCTCGCAAACTCTGCCAAGCGACAGCCGGAGCGACGCAGGGATGGACTGAGCACACAGCTTCAGCTGTCTTGTAGGGGATATGTGTACTGCCTGAAGCTCATGCCCTTTGACCCGGGCCTCACCGCTGAGGGAATTGAGGACTATGTCGACACCCTGCTTTGCTGTCGCCTTCATGGCTGCACACTTCCTAGTAGTTTAACGACCGAAGAGACATGCAAAGACACAGGTTGCAATTGGTTGTCGTTCATTGTGCTTTGTCGATTGTTGGGGCTCTCGTTGCTGAGGGCTCTCGATAAGGCAAGCCATCTGCATCAGCGTGTTCATCGACATTTGAGGGTATCCAGTAGTCAGGGTTGTATCAATTGGTTTCTCATGCTTCTCCTAAGAATTCAACAGTGCTGCAGCTACTCAATCCCGGCAGGATTGCACCTTGAGAATGCCCTGCTCGAAGCCAACTGGATCTCGGGAGTTGAACACAGCCGCAGCTCCCAACTCAAGAAGCAGATTGCCTGACTATGGGCAGCTTTCCCAGTTGACGGAGCTAGGAACCAGATGATACACGCGCAGATTAAACACGATCCTGTCGATAGTACTTTCCAGAAAAGGCTTCTCAGATAGAAAGGTTCTCCCTTAGAAAACCAACTTGTGACTTGTGACATTTGGATACCAACATTTAAATCAAAGCCGAGTCTGGCAAGTTGTCGATTGTTCCAGGATGCGCCATTTGAGGAGCTACGGCTGCAAGCAGCCATGGGGAAACCCAGCTTCATCCAAGCCACGAAACTCCTTCAAACCACACTTCCTGCCAGGTTGCGTTTCTCCACCGTCGAGGCGGTGCAGTAGACTTCACAGCCAGCCTTGCAGTTTACTGGATTCCGCAAGCACATGCCAGAAGTGCTTCGCATGCGGCTACGGCACTCGCTTGCACAGATGAACAGCGGCAAGACCGACACCCCCGGCGGCGCTGTGGATTAACACCTGAGCCAATACACGAGATTTGTGCTTACGAACAGCCGCGAATGATTTGGAATCCTACGCTTGAGCCATCTCAGCCCCCGACGCGATCTCCCTTACGAACACGGGCCAGCCAATGAAGGGCGTACCATGCTGTGGCGTAGACGCAGGTGCCTGCTTGGTAAGTAGTCGGTGATTGCACCGAGACACATATGCTTGCTTGCGTAAGATGGAAGTCCGCTTAGAATCTGCGGCGCTCTGCAGAGTCCATGGTGAGAGTCTATGCGCGTGCGGCTGTCCCATGGCTTGGCCCACCCACACTCTGCAAGAAAACAAGGCCCGTCGGTCCATCTGAGATCACGTCGTATATGGCTATCCGTAAAGGGCCCAAATCTAACGCGGAGCTTGGGTGGTACTACTTGGACTGGCATCGTGATGAGTAGGGCCCCTTTCCATCCAGTAACATGCAGGCCTGGTTCGTACTTTCATTGTACTTCGCTGCCTGTTCGTGCAACGGTTCCATCAGCGATAGCCCTTGTTGCAGGAGATGCTGTACCACACTGTACTTCTTCCTCAGCTTCTACTCGTGGCAGGTTGTTGTTTACGTAAAGTCCGGATGAGATGGCCTGTGGAGGGGCCTGGACTGGATCCTGGGAGCACTGCCACTACCCGATCAGCAGTGTCCAGTCACCGTCGTTGGGATGCAGTCACTTTTTTTCGAGGATATCCGAAGATCTGGCGAAGCTGATCCTTCAGATGAGCTTCATGATGTTTGTGGTGGTTGTTGTGGCGGTGGCGTCTCATGTTGGGCCATTGTCGTCCTGCATGCGCTTGGTATGCTTGTGGTGCGCAGCTGTGATGTTGTTCAGCTTTTGCTTGAAGCTTCATTGGCTTGATCTCTCGGCACTTTGCAGAGTCCCGTTGCATACTCTCTGAGTCCCGACATAAGTTGAGAAGGGTTTGGCAAGCGCTGCTGACAACCCCATCCGTGGTAAGTCATGGAGGGCATTCGTTCAGCTGTAGGCACTTTCAGGCTTGAGTTCCCAGATTTATGAGGAACAGCTCTCCCAGCACTTAAACGGGCAGTGTGCTGGTTGAAGCTAGGGTTTAGGTTAGGTTGTAGGGTTTAGGGTTATGAGGTGCCAGTCCCAGCTGTTCTATAATCAGCTGTAAAGCGCTGGACCTGATCGCGCCCACGGAGAATAGAATGGAAACACTACCAGAGAAGAGGCGATAAGCTTTGGGTGGACATCTACGACCCTTCTATAGACAGGAGCCCCATCAAGATCTCACCAAAGAAATGCCCTTAGACAAACCACGAGCACGCGGATCCCACCTGCCACTGCCTCCTCCGGGCTCATGCTTAGTGGCGCCGCAAAAACCCAACGGGCGTCTGTGGTGCAAAAGGAGCCTGATTCACAGGTCTTGTACAGCTCAGCTCGAATGCAGCATGTAGCAATGTAGCACAGTGCAACGCGCGGTGCCCGTCCTCAGTCCTTCGAAAATGAAGACTGAAGTTGGATTCCCGTTGGAATATTGCATAGGATGAACGCAGTCGCTCTCGTAGCCAAGCAGCCCATGCCGTCTGGCGGCACGGCGATGACAGTGTCTCCCACGGATACACTGGTGACGCCGTCGCCTGGACTTGCCAGCCACCCTCAACAATGCTGAATGACTTGGTCACCCCGGTCGTGTCTGGGTGCGGCGGACCCTGAAAGATGCTGTGCCTGGATACACTTCTAAAACACTCTCCGTCTTAGTCTGAGGTCCAGTTGCCAACTGCTGCAACCTTGCCATAGCACTCGCCACCAATGCCCAGGGATTGACCTGGCAAGCCACGTGCTGATCATATCCTTCCTGGCGGCTATGCTAAACAATTCCATGGAACCAGCCATGCCAGCAAAATGATTGTAAAATACATCTGTCCCAAATCCTGGCCAGCTTGTTGTGGGGAGTGGGTTCACCAAAAGATGCCTAGCAAAAGCTAGTGGTTGCCCCCATGAGGGAGCGGCTAGCCCATGCGCGCACGCCACATAAAGAGCATAGCATACATGTCATACCAAGATGGGTTGAAGGGCTTGGTGTGCTGTGGCCGTTAAAAAAGACAATCACCTGACACATTGTTAGAGACCGGCTTCCTGACCTCTCAGGCTTCATGCAGGAATCGTTGCCCCCCCCATCCTGACATTTCGGCTTTCAAGCTAGGAAACGTTTTGCGACGAATCACAGGCAAGCGCCGCTATCTGACCTCTCCGGCTTAAACGTAGAGAACATTAACAACCAAACCATCAGCTAGCGGTCCCATGGAGCCTTAACCCAAACTAAGAGGTGGTTGTGCAGAAATGACCGATCGCGCTTCAAGCCAGGGCCAGATAGGCCCTCGGCACCATCCCTCGAAATACCGGTTCCTGGCTTCCCAGGCTTCAAACTCGAGACCGATTTTCCACCAACCACGAATCCTTCAGCAAGGACAGCTTTCTGACCTTTCAAGCTTCCAGCATCTTCCGGCCATCTCCACGAGTCGCTTAGCCATCCAACAATGAGTGTTGTATGATCTCTCCGTCTTTTGTGTTGAAACAATCTTGTCGTCACCAACAAACCCCGTCATTGCAACAATGCGGTCAGGTGTTTCTGCAAGTATATGCAGTATCAACTTGTCACCTTTTAGATATACTTGGCGGGCCCCTCTCAGCAAGGAAGCCCGGCGCGCAAAAGAATGGTGTGCAGCGTCACACGTGCTGTAAGGATTTAACCCTGGAAAAAAGGGGTTCGGCATAGCCGTTTAGGGAGGCCCCTGGGACATCACAACCAAAACTGCGATGCGGCATTACCATTATGGAGTCCTGTCCCTGGAAAGTCTGGGGTTTTGTGGGGCCTGCCATAAAGTGGGCAAACAATAGATGGAGGACTGGCAGCTGCCTGCTGGGGGTGGTCTCAGAAACTTGATGAAATCATACGAAGCAGATTCACACCAGTTTGGCGTGGCCTCGGGGTCTCTAATTAAGGGTGGCTGTCCCTGCTGCGGATACAGAGCAGCGGAAGTCGAAAAAGAAGGTGCGCAAAATGATGAGGTTGAAAGCAAGCTTCAGGAGTGTAAAAATTGAGCCCCTTGAACAGGTTCCATTGGCCTGCCACAACGGCGGATATGGCACCCACAGCCACGAGTACATCGCCTCTGACAGCTCCGAAAGTTCGGCTCTTTGGTGCGACAACTCTTTGTCTTGAACACGCGATTGCTTCTGTAGAGCACAAGGCTACATATTTCTGTTCAATCTCTCACCTGCCTAGCCCTTCTGCTGTGTCTACGCCGAATTTCAACATTGCGCTCAGAAGCCTGGGCAACTTTGTACCTGCTGTCTTTGGCTGAAGTGTGCCCTAGCGCTTGACACCTCGGTGCTCAGCCAGGGAGCGGAAGTTCAGGGCCCAAAGGTCTGCCTGGATCTCGACTTGCCCCGGTTCCGGCGGTTTCCGGTTGCTGAGGCGGCACCTCGCTCCAAGCGGCTTCGAGAGAACAAAAATCTTGAAATTTCTGAGTCGGCCGCAGAGCTCCCTTGCCGCCCTTGCTGGGATCTGTCTCCACAACATAGGAATCCAGCCTCTCAAAGCGCAGTGCTACGGGACCAGGGGACCGGCAGGCCATGTTCCAAGGCAATGATTGTGCGGCAAAAGCCGCTTAGAATTGGTAATTAGAGCTCGTTTGACCCAAGGCCTGGCAGCTTGGATTGCTTCGGCCGTCGAGGCAGTCCTGACACTCCGCACCTGCAGCTGCAGACTTCCACCTGGGCCGCGACGAGTGACCGGGCAATCTTGTTGCACGAGTTTGACGAGGATGCCCCGTTTAGGATTGAAGGCATAGCACGCTTGGAAGAGAATCTTTATGGATTTTGGGTTCAAAAGGTCCAAGGCTCTCGTTGAACAGTTCAGAACTCAGGTCATTCAAAGGAAGCTTGGAGGTTGTGTCATGTGTAGACTTCGGCGTCTTCAGGGATATAAGTGCATCCATCCATTGCAGCGTACTCAAGGTTCAGCATGCCTAGGCTTAAAAGGATTGGATTTGAGGGGCTTTGGGGTCACTCAGGGCTTCGCGTTGCTGTTAGGGTCGTTGAGTGTTGAGGGTTCAGGTGTTTTGGAGCTTTCGCTGGTCAAGGGCCACGTGTGTGAAGGAGATTTGATGTAAGGGTTTGGCGTTTGGGGCTGTAATTAAGGAGCCTTAGGGCTTGTCACGGTTACAGCCTTTGTGGTCCTTGGGCTGTTGGACGCTGTCAATGAAGTTCAGGCTTTGTAGGGTGCGCAGGGTCTTGAGCGCTTTACAGGCTTCAGGATTGATGATGCCGGAATCCAACAGGGCAGGATCGTCAAACCTCGTGTAGAAATTTCGTGTATGAAAAGTGCGGTTGGCCAGGAAGTTTGGGCTGCTGCTTGGTACTATGTGGCCTGAAATGCTCAAGCTACACATTGTCAAAAGTTCACATGCAAGTAAGGACCATTGCATCTGTGCAATTCCATTGGTGACTCCATGCTGGCGACCCCAGACCCCTGCCATTCTTCTAGGCCGCCATCATTCTCAGCACGAAGAATGGCCTGCATAGTCGGTCGCATGGCTTGTAATAAAAATCGCTTCAAAAGCGCAAACCTTTTTTCGAACAGGGAGGGGCAGCGTGGCTTTCATGGTGACCCGCACAGTGACCCAATCCCCTGAATTTCGCAGAAGTCTCTCGGAAGTGCCTTCGTTTCCGGGGTACTGATGGCACAGATTAGCGCGGCAGATCTCTGAAGATGCAAACATGCAGGCAAGGAAGGCCGGCGAGACACAAAGGATGAAGAATGCAACTTCATGTGTCCAAATGTGTCCAACGTGCAGAATGACTCCTCTCAGCTGCAGATCTGAGTCCTCTAAACAATATCTTTTGCATTGTCACAGACCCGTCCAGCCTGGGCATCCATGCCGAGCCCAGGCGATACGTTGCGAAGCATCTCGGCAGAGCCGACTATCGCGTTTGCGCCGACCTTCGGTTGCACGAATCAGACTTACACAAGACCTTGGAAATGTTGCAGTTGAAGCAAGTTTTCTTGCTTGCAGCGTGATGCACCATTCTATACAGATATTTGAGAGTCTGCGAGATCACTGAAATTTGCATCAGCAAATGGTGCACGTGATGAGATTTCGCTGATACCTGTTGATTGCGTCAGCATGGAGAGCATGCAACCAAGCGAGCCTCCACAGCAGCTTCAGCCGCTGCTTCTGCAAAGGAGGAACCTGCAGCAGCAATGCAGCAGCAATGCTTGAGATCTCTCCTGGTGCGGGGGTGAGCAGAAGTACGGTCCGCTCACACCGGTACAGTTTGCCTGGTTGCATCGCTGAACAGACCTTACAATTACTTCACCGACCTCCTACGCCCTTTTCCTGATCTAATACAGCCGCCTTCGTCTGTGATTGACAGCAGCCAGCATCGTTCTTTGGCAGCGATGCGTTGGACGTCATCGCGACACCGCTGCCTTGTGGGGTTTGCATAGATACTTCTTAGATTCTCTCCTTTTTAGTTGAATCTGAAGAAGCTTCTAGGAGGTGTTGAGCTGATCTCAGCGCAGACATTCTCAATTCTGTGAATGGTTGGTATGACCCATCATGCACCCAAGCCACACATCCTCGAGCGACTTTGCCCTCACCGCAATGGCAACAGCTTCGTAAGCGTCCTCGGGCTTGTCCTGCTGGCCATAGGGTTCTGTGAATGCCATGCAGGCGGACAGGTTTCTGGGGCTAAATGGGGAGCTTCAATGGCAGGCCGAGTGGCTGTGCAGTCGGGCAGGTTCAGTTGCTGGGCTTCTGCTCCAACCTGTTCACACAGCGTTGAGACAAGGCGTGAGTTGCTATTTGTACTTGACGATCAACCTGACTGCTGCCAAAAGCACCACCAGCCAGGGGCCGCGAGACAAGCGTGCCGCATCCTGCAAATGCGAATCATCCATACATCACCACAACCGCCGCGGGGAATGGAGCACGGCCACTCAGACTCAAAAGTACAAACTTTGAATGGATTGGCCACGTATACCCCGAACGAGAAGACCCTTTCAAGGGAACTAGACTCCCCTGTACCTGGAGCTTCGGAACTGCAAAGAAACACGAGTAATGGCAAATAGGAACACCCACTACAGTATGGTAGAAACTAACACGCCGCTGTCGCCGCCACAACCACGACCACGACCACGACCTCGACACAACCACGACCACCACCGCCGCTGCCGGCGCCGGCTGCAGCACCACGACCATCACCAGACCCTGTATGCATAGTGGAATACGTGACACATTTCTTGTCTTCGTAACGGTTCGTGTTTTTGCTTATCATGCTCAGATGCGGGAAACCTTCCACGTCGGCCGACAGCTCGTGAGGTGAGCACCCGCATGCATGGACCTGGAAAACTCTGCTGGGGCAGGGCGTAGAAGGGAGTCGCGCGGAAAGACTCTTGGGCTACACTGATGCAAACCTTAGGCACCGCATCTGTTCCGACGACGAGGTGGGTCAAGTTGAATTTTACAGAACTCTAAGCATGATGATTTTGCATTTCTACAAGCCCTGGCTACTCAATGACTTAAGTGCTCCCAGGCACGAAAGCGTCAGACCGTGAAGATCACAGACAAGGTCTCCGTCGTCAAACAACTGAACCTCAGCGTCAGCGGCAAAGGTTTGTAGCTTGGGGTGTGGATGAGGATTAGTTGCTCTAGCACATGCTCATCACTTGCTTGCCGGACCCATGTGCTTGAGCAGCACTAGGCTGCTAGGCCTAATCAATATCTTTCAACAGCGACGTCATGCAACTGAGCTTTCCATTTTGAGATTGGCAAAACAACATTCCCATTGGAATAAGCTCCCAGCATCCACCTCGTGCGCGCCTGCAACTCTAAGCTGCGGGTTGCTAGACGGCAGCCTTCTATGCCGTATGACTTCCGGGGTCTGGACATGTCCTCTTGTTGCGGCAACTTCCACAACATGACTCCGACAGAAAATCTAGTCTAATCTACTCCAGCAGCCTTGCAGCGCCCATAGGGTTTGAAAACGGCCTAACACCCCAGAAGAGTCTGGCTGTGGAAGGAAAGTGGAGCCAGAAAGCTGTTGACTGCTGAAAAAATACTGTCGGTGCCTGCGAGGTGTGCCCGGGAGGACGTCAACTTGGTGCCGACCTGAACATAAAGCTGAATGCTCGGTGTTTCGCATATGCAGGCACACCGCTTGACAGCTCAAAGCAAAGTGACCCTGTAAACTGTCAGCCAGAATGGAACGCGTGAAGACCTCTCATCTGTCCCCTATTCTCCTTACGAGAAGCAAAGTTAACGCTCATGCTGGGACAACATTGATTCGGCCCAAGCTGCGTGGAACGCCGCTTTTGACAGCACCGTGTTAAGTTTGTACTGAGTGTCATGATCAAAGAACTTTCCTGAACTTCTGGCAAATATGGCACCTTGGCCACCACACGCTGGATGGCCTGCGGCGCACCTGCACTTATGCCGTATGCCAATCTCTGCAGGAACTGCATGCAATCGTAGCAGTCAGGCTGATAGCCGACCTAGCGCTAGCACTTGCGCCCACTCTGCAGGGCTGCGGGATATCAAAGCAATCGAAGCCCTAAGAAGAATGCGCATTATGCGCCATCTATGTGCCTCGGAAGCCAAGTGGGTGCAACAGCGAGGCCAGCTGCAAAGCTACGTCCAAATCTGCTGGATCCAAGGCAAAGCCTCGCAGAGTTTCAAGCATCAAATGCGCTGCTACTGCACTGCTGCACTGCTGTCTCCCAAGATCGGGGGGCCGCTGACTCTAATCAAGCCCTGGTCATGCTTTGCGCCAAGGAGCCCCTTGCAGCTCCATTCATTTGGTTCGTGGCATCCTTGTCGGACACGGCGAAGCACCTCCCTGAGAGGATTTCATGGCTCGTCATGCTTCCACATCTACCTCCTGTTCTTCAACACAAGTGAAACTGAAAATTACTGACAGAAACCTTATAGGTGCATGTCTTCAATGACTCAAAAGTCTTTCTTTCATCTAGCATTCAACAGCTAAGCCGGTCAAGCCTTGAAAATCCGGGCCGTAGTAGAAGCCGGCGGCGGCGAAACTGGCCTCAAGTTCTCGGATCACCCAGCTCCAACTGCACCCATTCCCCACATTGCCCTCTGCGATTGTCATTTCTAGTCTTGACCACGGCGCATAGATGTCCTCGACAGGCTTTGCATCGGCGACCTGCTGCACGGTCAAAAGGAAAAGAGGAACTCTTGCGCGGCAATTTGTCTTGAAAGATCTTGTTACAAAGCCTCTGGCTGGAATCTGATTTTTCAGATGAGAGGTCAGTCCAGCCAAACTTGCCCTTTTCATCCTCCTGCAGCCCGCCCACACTGTTACTCACTCCTTCAGCATGGCATGCACCAAGTGAAGCCTCTCCGCCAAGAAATCCTCCTCCTGATGCTGCCCCACTACCCCAATAGCCGTGGCCTTATCCGCAGGAGCCGGAATCCAGGTCCCAAAAAGAGATGAGACCCATCCTCGACTTCTCTCAACACCAGTTCACTTCTTCTGGCCAGCAGCAATCATGTTGACCTCACATGCCCCAATGGGTGCCCCCAAGTTCTTCTGCAAGGCATTGCAAGGCGTGAACGCGCATTCACCGACACAGCCAAAAAAGGTGACGGCATGGTCCGGCCGTGCAGCGGCAGGCCGCTTGCGGACAGTCTTGGCATTGACAGAACATGTGGCATTGCCACACGCGAAATCATAGCACGAATTGCATGAACAGTCAGGGTCTGTCAGGGACCGTGCTCGTGTCCTCAGTGTGGAGATCACCACAGGCTAGCATAATTGGCAAGGGCTTAAGGGGGTAGAGGTCAGAGCTAGCGTGACCCGAAAGCAAGGGAACGGGAAAACATACGGGCAAGATGTTGGCGCTGGGGGTCAAATGTGCAAAGCCAATTGTAAGGGTCGGTGGCAAGTAAGTTGGGTGAGGGAAAGGTAAGGGCAATGGGTGAGGATGGCGAGGGGGCAGGATGGGCCAGGGATACATCTGTGTAAGCAAAAGGAAACGGGTTCCAAGTACTCAGGGCAAAGGTACGGGCAAGGAGGGCTAGGGGAAGGTGGCAAGGGCAACGGGGATGGCCTTTGGCAAGGACTTGGGCAAGGAGTCGCGCAAGGCTATAACGGCTAGGCGCAAGATTCAAGGGATGGTAACGGCGCGGCTACAAGTGCAACAGGGAAGCAAAAAGTGCAAGGCGAGGGTACGGCAATGCTGGCGAGAAAGGAAACCTTGGGGTAAGCGGTAGGTGCAACAGCTGACGGGTACGGGGTCAGGGTTTCTGTGTAAGGGTGCGCTGTAATCGTAAGGGAAGGGGAAATTGGGGACGCTGAGAAAAGAATTCAGCTGCAAGGTCAAACCATTCGACCCCAGACCCCCACCTTCAAATTTGAGAGCATGTGCAACATGTAACGATACTCATACATCACCATCTGTACAGGGTCGACTAGCTGACTAGCGACCCTGTTTCCTTTTGGGGGGTTGAGCTACCATGCGCTACAAAGAAGTTACGAAGTGCTTGACTGCTTGACCCGCCTCCGGGAGCCGGTCTTTGAAGGGTTGCAGTGTCTCAGCCGCCAAAAAACGGCACTGGCAGTGCAGCGTCTCCGGCATCTCCTCGCTGCTTCTCAGAGCTTTTGAGACACGAGACTCATCCCAACGGGTCCGTGGAAGCTGTCCTTAAGGGATGGGTAGGCATGTACAAGTAAGATACCAGGCTCATTACCTTACAAACCCTGGCCCTGTACTCTTTGAAGTCAAGGATTCTTATAATATTACATGAGCTTGATATCTTCAAAGGGGGGGAGCCCCCTTCCCCATCAAAGCTCATTGATTGCGGGAAATCTTGTACACTTACCCGGAAAAAGTAATGCTAACATTCTTTGTACTTTTCCGCTTTGTAGGGTTTTGGGCTTGAAGGGCCGCTTAGCTGTGCAGTTTTGGTGAAGTCTTTAGGGCTCAGAGGCTCTCATATTACTTCAGGGGCTTCAAGTTGAAGGATTCTGGGTTTTCCAGCGAATGAAACCATTGCGGTTTGGGGCTTGAGGGTTGGAAGTTCTTAGTGGGTTTAGAGTTGTGCGTTCTGTGCGAGTAGGTGTTTGGCTTCTTTGTTGTTTTGGGTGAGATTGAAACGGGAAATGAACTTCACTTGCTGCACTCACCCAATTGAAGCGAAGAGCTGCTGCAACTTGCACACGCCAAGGTTGATCAATGGTTGGTCACATTGAAGTCGGTTGGCTGAAATCCGCTTGGGGGGCACCCATCTTTCAGGAAAAGAACTTGAAATGCAAATGCTTTAGGATACTGCCCCGCTCAGTACTTTTTCAAGGAACCCCCTGTCCTGCATGTCCTCTCCCAAAGCCTTGCTGAAGAAGCGCAGCTGTCCTGCACTTTGCTTAGGTTCGGTTCCTGCTGGACTTAGTGCTTCAGGAGAAGCAGTGAGAGCTCACTTGACTGTTAGCCTGTCAGAGTGTCGCTTCATCTATTCTTCACGTCATCCTACATCTTCTCGCATCCTTCGGTGATGACACTTGACAGCTGCCGCGGGGCGGACAGCTCCAGTGGGCGCAGAAATTCAACATCCTTGCGGGGTTCAGCGTCAGAATTTGGCTGGCCGTCAAGCCTACACGGCCTATGCCTCTGATCCCACCCCCATCCGAACTGAACTTATTCAGCTTCCTAAACAAGGTTGGGCACAGCTGTTGCATACCTGAAGTTCTTTCTACCTAATTCTCTAAATGACCCGGAGACTGCCTGGAGCTGCACAACCTCGCTTTTCAGCAGTTGCGACACTTCCAGCAGCGCCAAGGAGACGAATGCTGAGCCAGGCAGGACCTGCAATGTCTGCTACTCTGGGGTTGACTACTGGTACATTCGGCACTCCTACATCGAAGTAATTGAGACAGGGACAGCTGCCCCGCTCACCACATGCTGCTGGCAAAGCCTTGGATGAGACTACAGAAGTCCGAAGATGCTGCTTTGGCAGCTGAAGCATGAAACTCAGCACCGGTGATCTAAATGGGGCCGGGTAGTGATGAATATGTGGGTAAGGAATAGGGCGAACTTTTGGCTGAGTGGAACTGAACGGAAGAATAGCAATGCGGGAACCGAATAATTCCATGTTGTGAACTAGAAGCCAAAGAGTACTGCCTTTTGAATTACTTCCTCTAGGATCACCCCCAAACTGAACAACTTTGCCCAAATTTGATCGGGTGACTATTTGGAATCCTCTACTTGTTTGGAGGGTTATTACTCAGAACCCTCCCCCTTTAGCCTGAGGAAAGTTGAGAACCAATCTCAAACGAATCTCGCAATACAGCCAAAGCCTGGAATGCTTGCCTGTGTTGATCCAAGATTACCCCAAGGTACTCACAGGTTCCCAAGCTCGACTCCGTCATAACTGTCACTAACTTTTTGCCAAAGACTATAGGTTCAGATCGCGCCAGGCGCAGAGCCAACCTCCTACCGCAACATAAGCCAAAACCGGCTGGATAGGTGTCCAGAGCGGGGTCTGCAAAATCATAGAAGCAGGACAACAGGCTGAAACCGTTTCACTTCCAACATGTCATTCGTGTAATGTCTAGGTCCTGCTGCAGATCCGACCTACTACGACAAGAGAAGCAGCTCCCATTGTCGCACACATCCGTAGTGTCGAGCGCCAGAGGGACCCAAGCGCAGCACCTACAAGAAAAACGAGAAAAAAACAACCAGCGATGCTGACAAGAACGCTTTCTTGCAATCTGGCAAACATGTTGACACCATTGTTGCATGTTCTGCCTGGGTGTCTGAATAGGTCTTGATGACATGTTCTGAAACGAAGGCATGGCATGTGCCTCTGACCCTTTTGGCAGGATGGTCTCATCTTCCTGCGCCGCGGGGCTTTTGCACGCCACTTGCCGCATGCAAACATTTACAGATTACCATTTTGGAAACCTGCAAATCCCCATCCATCCCTCTCTCCCGGGAGGTTCCCAGGCCCTGCGGACCCAAATAAACGCCTCCAGACGCCAAACATCGACAAAAATGGGCTGCGGACCCCTGGAACTGCCAGGTCCTCAATCGCAGCCAACATGGGATCCTCGCTTGTGAACGGGTTCTGCTGCCGGTACAATGGCCAGTCCCTTGGCAGGCTTGGTTAACAGGTTTCGCTGCGCATCGCCCAACCTACCAAAAGCTCCAAGACTAACCTGCAATCTTGGCATGCAAGCTGTGATACAAGCGGCCAAAGACGATTTCAGATTAAGGCATATTGATTTATAAAAACCTCCTGAAAAAGGCTCCAAGCTGCACGTCCAGAACGGCATAAGGCACTTCCCGAGCCTCAGTCTGCACGGCAGCGCTCCTGAAACCCTGTGACGAGCTTGCCAGTGCCACAGGCATATCTTCCCAGGCAAGGGGCTGGCGAATCCAGGACCTTGGACATTTGATGCACGCAACATGCAACTTTCGCAACTTTCGCAGCTTTGCCAAATTCATCTCACGTGCATCACCTGATGGCTTGGAGCTCCTCCGCCTATCGCATGCGAGGCGCTCGGAACAAGCACTCTACACCTTTCTCCACGGCGAAGAAGCGCTCACCAGGAAGGGGCCTAGGTAGCTTTGCTCTTTGTCAGTTCTGATCTTTTCATGGGCCTACAAGAGCTGGCATGCCAATTGGCTAAGGAGACGTCAACAGCCCATAGCCCCTAAGTACGCTGAGCCCATGCTGATTCTGCAGCCAGCAGTTGCCGTTCAGTTCAGGCTGGGACACTGGACAGGCTCTCCCTTGAAACCTCAACCATGTCTTGTGGTTGAAACTCTTAGGTGAGGCCGCTGCTTGATGCCATAGTCTTCCACCATGCCAGTCTCGCCCCAACCTCCACTCATGACGGGTGCAGTTGAGTGCCGATAGCCGATAGTCATGCCTGGGGGACTGTCTCATTTTGTGAACTGCCGCATCGCGATATGGCCGCATGTGGCCTCCATCTCAACTGCGGCACTGCTCCAAGTGCTTGTTCCCTCGCGTTGCGTTGTTGCTGCAATGCTGTAACCCGCTCCCGCGCAATGTGACAGCTGCGCATGGGCTATCGGCTATCGGCTCGGGCCGAGGGCCTGCGATCCCAAGTCTTGTCCTCTTCTAATTGGAAAGGCAGAAGCCTCTTTGCACGCGGCCGCGTGCCCGAAAAAATCTACATGTTCTGTGTACTGGCAACGTTCCAAATACAGGACGCCTTCTCTGGCTGCTGCTTCAAGCGTTGCTGTGCAAACACATGCAGATTTCATCAGATTTAGGACGTGCTAAGCTCCTACTGCTCCCATGTACTTCGTAGTCCCACACCGCCGGCCTCCCCACTGGATGGAGGGCATGCAGGCGTCCACGAAGGTGTTGCCTCGAGGTGAGTTCGAGGGCAAGAATAGATCCGCAGTTGCGCGACACTTCAATTTTGACATACATTGGAGTCTGCATAACCGGGGGCATGTGAGATCCTGTGAGACTTTGCCGCACACTTGCAGCCACATCTGATGACGAAGCTCATGATCGCACATGTGGAAGACAATACTCTGTGCTCAGAACCGTAGAGTTATCGAGTCAAGCACATAAAAAGCTGAAGCTTGATGCCTGCAGCATACGTCGACTGGCCCGGAACGCCAAACAGCCCCGAGGACGACGAGAAAGCAATCTCCAGCAAGCTTGCAAGGTGGCTCCACATGAGTTGAAAGCATGTCTGTGCATGTCTGTACCTTCTAGAGTCTAGTCTTCGTGTCGCTCCTGACATAATTACAGGATTGGGCGCCAGTCCGGGCTTACCCTTCGGCAAAGCCTTTTCAAAACTTTGGGAGTTTCACCACCAAGTGTGTTTGGAGGAGCATCCCCGCGCCAAATGATCCAGCAACTGCTTGTGGCGCTTTGTAGGCTGAGCGTGCCAAACGCGAAAGATGCGTGGATCTGCTTGGAATGGGCCTTCTTCGCATCTGGGTACTTGCTCCTGACTCAATGTGACACTATATGACTCTGCTGCCATCAAGAGCAAATCTAGCTGAAGGATTGCCGCCCCGACAGTCAATCAACATCTTGGGTGCAAAGGCTGTCACGATGTGCGCTTGTCCATTGCACAAGCAACTTCAGGATGCGCTCCTCAGGTGGATCGTCCCGCGGATCTTGGGGCGCAGAACCTGCTTGACGAGAAAAGAAAAACTTGGACAAAAAGCCTGCTTACACGTGTGACTGGTGAAGATATCGCGTGCTTCCTTGGCGTCGCAGGTTCCAAGTCAGGGCTGTTGCAAGTGCTCCACTTCGTACCAGCTCTTCAAGAAGCTTTGTTTTGGGCGAAGGGCTAGGGATTGACTTGGGCTGGTCTTCGAAAAAATGAATCCTGACGCCTCGCTCAGAATCTGAGACAGTTGAGAGTTGAGAGGGTTCACCACTGAAGCTCCGCATTTCTGCCTTCAAGGCATCTTCGTCCGACAAGTTTATGAGCACACCGTCCTGCCCAGTAGCCAGCAAGACTTGTTGACTTGTTGACCGTCTTTCGACTGGTCTTGGTTCAGAGATTTCGTGGTCAGACTGCCTCGATATGACATGATATTTCTCTGCAACCCATCAGCTCTTTGCCTATCGCCACAAAAGACCTGCCACATTGATCACCTTTACTTGGTTCGACTTGGCAGACAAAACTGAACATCGTCAAACATGTAAAATGTAAACGTGACTTGCCCTCTGTCATCAGGACGAGAAACTTCAAAGCGCGCTGTCCTTGACCGCACCCGCACAGTGAATCACCAAGTCACAGTCGCTGGGAAGCTTGGAAACCTGGCATTCGAAAGCGGCTAAGTGGCGGACGCCGGTTTCCAGGAATTGTGGAGTTGTAGCTCTGCTCATGGACATCGATCTGCAGTTGCAAAGCATGATGACCACACCTACAGAGAACCCTCGTCCTGGCCTGCACAATTTCCCCCCAGCTATGTAGCGTGTTCTTGCCTCTTCCCAGCGTGCCACATCGCACAAAACCACCTGACAAAACATCTCCATGCACTCAAGCCTGACAATGATAAGAACTTGGGAGATCGGATCGACAATCAGGCATCAAAACCATTGACCGGTACCTAGAATCTTAAATCATGATGCAGTAGGCTATGCTTTAGAGCTAGAAACAAAAACAGTGTTGCTGCTGTCTACTGCAACTTGCGCTCACTATCCATCACCCTACTCTACTCTTCTGCTTAGTGGTGTAGAAGTTGCAACAATGGCAATGAAACAATAGTAGCGGCAGCAGAAGCGCAGTGTGCGGTAGTCGTTGTCATCGCGGTTGCCGTAGCCATGTGCAAACAGAGTTTAACGCCGAATGTACAGGAGTGGCACAATGCTTGCCTTTGGGCAAGGCTATCGTGAACAGCTTTGTCATCAGATTTTGCGCCAGTCACGTTCTCCTGCTTGCATCGCATGCGTATGGTAACCACTGCATTTTGAACAATGCATGTGGGGGTTGATAATTGGAAGCTTGGAGCTTAGAAGCAATGGCTGCGCCCCTGGCACCACACCGCCAGCATGCTTTGTCAATGACTAATGAAGGTACGGACCTTCGCGTGACATGGCTTGGGAATGGAGCCTCACCACCTCTGCTGTTCTTTGCGCACTCCACAGCTCAACGCTGATCATATCTTTAAGTTTATTCTGCCACAGCGCACGACAAATTGGAAGACGTTGATATTTGCACTTGCTGTTGAGAGTTTTGCCAAGACTGCTCCGGCCGTCACTCTAGTCCGCCGGTTTGCCTTGAAAACTGGCAACCTCATTGCCTTTGCTCTGCCCATCATGCGCGGGGGCAGCAATGCTGATCCGCTTGCTTGTCTGCAAC